AATCTCCCAGCCAGCATGCTTTAAGAAGGTAGACTTCCATTCCCAGAATTCCTCAGCAAACATGATTTAAGACAGGCGGACTTCAGAACCCAAAATTCCATATCTTGGAAGGAAAAAAAAAAGCTCTTTTGTTTTTAACATTTTTAAAGACTTTTTTTCTTCCCAAATCTTCAAATTCAACTCTTGGGAGATTCAAAACATTCAAGATGGTGGCTTCGATTGTATTTTCTTTTTTGACCACATCTGCAGGCTCTTTTGCTTGATTTAAAACGCAGGAATTAAAAGGGAAAGAGTCCAGAAAACTGCCTTTCGTAGAGAATAATTTCATTTAAATCTTTGTTTTAAAAAACGAAACAAATAGAATGCCAACAATGTGGCTGAGAAATGTACATTATTCTTTCGCTCGGAAAAAATAATAATAGGTGAGCCGACGTCACCTCTGTTTGTGCATAAGAACAAGATACAGAATTATGAAAATCTCTTTTGCAATCGGTTTGGGGATCTCTTTGGAATAGATTTTAGCAGAACAAACTTAAACCTATTTATGAAACTTGGGTTGCGAAACAGAACAGGATTTGCTTTTCTCGAATCAAAATTCTGTCCCCAAAGACATTTATTGATGGATTTAAATGGTTTCCTGTTTCTGAAAATTGGGCTTGATGGGAGATTTATACAACCGAGAAGATGCAAGAAACTTTTTTGGACTTTTGACTAATTTCTGTGTTTATTCGGAGGAACTGTGTTTAAAAAAAGTTTTGACAGTTAGGGAAAGTCCAGAAGAAAAATGGATGTTTTTTTTTAAATGGAATTATGAAACAATAACAGAGAAAAAAAAAATCCAAATATTTTCAGAGGGGCTGGAACAATACGCTTCCAAGTTAAGGTTTGAAACCTCCAATCTTTTCTTCATTTAGTGACCGTTCAAAGTTACAACGGCACGGAAAAAAGTCACTTACACAGGTGGTCCTCCAGTCACAGCAGTTCATTTAGTGACCGTTTGAAGTTGCAATGACACTGGAAAAAAAAAGATTTTTTTTTCACACTTAATGACCGTTGCAGCGTCCTTAGGATCAACATTCACAGTTTTGGTAGTGATTCATATTTAAGACGGCTGCAATGTCTCCTTTTGCGACGTTCTGACAAACGAAGCCCCGTGGGGAAGCCAGATTCACTTAACAGCTGTGGGGCTAAGGTTAACAATGGCAGCGATTTGCTTAAAAACAGTGGCAAGGAAGCTGAGGGGAAATGGGGCAAAGCTCCCTGAACAACTGTCTCACTTTGCAACGGAAATTTGGGGCTTGATTTGGGTCGTAAGTCAACGAATCCCTGTAGTTGCACTGCGTTGTGCTCTTTTTTACCTTCCTCTATGCATCCCGTCCATCAGGTGGAGCAGGGATGAGGCGCATGGGTCTGATTGTGTGCTTATTTGGGTGTGCCAAGGAAACAAAATCTTTTTCATGTTGCATTAGCACGCACTGTGTGTGTGCGTGTGCATGTACACAATGCCTCCCCTGAGAATCGCATTTCAACATTTGGGGTCTGTCTGTTTTTCAACCGCTGTGTTTATCATGTTGATTTTAGTGTTGTGTTTGTGGATGTTCTAAGGAAAGGTGGTTTTTGTTTTTGTTTTAAATTTGGTTTCCGCAAACCTTAATTGCTGGTTCAAACGTTGGCTGTCATGGGTTTGACCTTTTTTAATGTATTCTTTGTGGCTTGTACGGACGCCCAGCCGGCCAATTATTGGGTGGTTTTAAAAAGCTTTTCCAGAAGTAAGACTGGAGTAGGAAATGCTGTGACTTCTTTTTATTGTGCAATATTTTCTAAAGACGGAGTGAAGAATGAAACATCGCAGCTGGGATGCCTGTTTTTCATTGTTGTGATTGCTAGCGGGTCAAGTAAGCGCGCCAGGAGACTGCGAGTTCTAGTCCTGCATTAGGCAGCGAAGCTGGCTGGGTGACGTTAGGACAGTCCACAAGAGACAGGGAGTTCTAGTCCCGCTTTAGGTATGAAAGGGGGCTGGGTGACTTTGAGCCATCACAAGGAGACTAAGAGTTCTAGTTCTGCCTTAGGCATGAAAGCCAGTAGGGTGGTTATGGACCAATCAGCAGGAGATGGCGAGTTCTAATTCTGCCTTAGGTATGAAAGCCGGCTGAGTGACTTTGAGCCAGTCATTAGGAGATACTGAGGGCTAATCCCACTTTGGGTATGAAAGCTATGGGCCAATTAGCAAGAGACAGTGAGTTCTAATCTCACTTTAGGCATGAAAGGTGGGTGACTTTGGGCCAATCAGCAGGAGACGGTGAGTTCTAGTTCTTTAGAAATGAAAGACAACTGGATGACTTTACACATATTAATATATTAATTCTTTTAAAAGTTAAAGTGCAACTGAAACCAGAAACTTTAACTTTTGGGTTTTAGGACAAGCAACTGGAAAAAAAACAGCCATGGGATTTTGCTTTTATGTACCATAATTGCATTGGGATTAAATTTGAAACTTTGAACAGTTGTTAAATGACCAATTACATGGATTTTCTTTGGTAGATTCAGTAGGGGATCGTACCTCAAATCCATGACCAAAAGGATAATTAATCCAAAGCATTTTCCCCCAACTAGATATCTTGGACTACAACTCCAATCATGCTTCAGCAAAGTCTGCAGGGCAAGGATGTTAGCAATGTTTTTCCCCCAATCTTCTCTGCAAATGCAGGTAATCCTCGACATACAACGCTTCATTTGCCACAACGGTCATAAGTGTGAAAAATAATCCTACATCGCTTTTTTTCAGTTCTAACTTTGAACAGTCACTAAACAGACTTTTGCAAGTAAAGGACTACCTGCAGTGTTGCATGATAACTTTTAACTGATCCCATTAAGAAGCTTTTAAGATGTTCAAATCTGTTGGATTATCTTTCCCATCACCCCAATAAACAAACGTGCAGTGGATGATGGGCACCCCAGTCCAGCGTTTCTGGATGAGGATGACCTTGCAGTGAAAAATGAGAATTCAGGGTGAAAAGGTAAAAGGAACAGAGACCAAAAACGCAAATACAGTCTTTAAAAGTATACACGTTCCTTTCAGTTCAGTCGAAAAACTATAAATAGCTCAGAGGAACACAACTAAAATAGACACTAAAAACTTACAAGGAAAGGACTGGTTTAATCTGACTTCTATTCTATTATTATAGTCCTCAATTTATAACAGCTGAAGAGAAGGGCCAGGGGAGACAGGATAGCAATATCTTCCAATATTTGAGGGGCTGCCACAGAGAGGAGGAAGGGGGTCAAGCTATTTTCCAAGGCACTCAAAGGCCAGAGAAGGAATAATGGATGGAAACTGATCCAGGAGAGATTCAACCTGGAAATAAGGAGAAACTTTCTGACAGGGAGAACAATCAACCCATGGAACAGAAGTTGCTTACGGAAGTTGTGGGAGCTTCATCCCTGGAAGCTTTCAAGAAGAAACTGGACTGCCCTCTGTCAGAAATGGTGTAGGGTCTCCCGCTTGGGTGCGGGGGTTGGACTAGATGACCTACAAGGTCCCTTCCAACACTGATCATCTGTGTTAAAATTCTATTTTGTTTAGAGACCTTTGAAGTTTGAACGGCACTAAAAACAACTGACTTAATGACCATTTTTCACACTTACGACCATTGAAGCAACCCCGTAGTCACGTGATCAAAATTCAGGCACTTGGCAAATCACTCGTATTTATGACTGTCTCAGTGTCCCGGAGTTATGTGATCAACTTTTCAGACCTTCTGACAAGCAAAGTCAATGAAAAAGCCAGATTAACAACCGTGTGACTAACTTAACAGCTGCAGTGATTCATTTAACAACCGTGGCAAGAAAGGTCAGCAAGTGGCTCACTAAAAAGCCCGCAAAAATGTTGGCCTCAGTTGTGGTTATAAATTGAGGACTACCTGTAGAAATTCCCCTAGCATTGGGAGACTGGGAGAAAAAATATACAGGCCCTTAATAAAGTTTTTTACTGATAAATGCTGTGAGGAATATTAGAATAACAGATTTAAACATAAATAAAAGGCTAAACACATGGAGAATGTTTACTGGAATTGGGTTTGTCTAGCCTTAATGAAGAGGACTAGGAGAGACAAAATTAGCAATCTTCCAATATTTGAGAGGCTGCCACAAAGAAGGCGGGTGTGTCAACGTATTTTCCAAAGCACCTGAAGGCAGGACAAGAAGCAACGGATGGAAAGTAAACAAGGAGAGAAGCAACCTGGAATTAAGGAGAAATGTTCTGACCGTGAGATCAATTAACTAGTGGAACAACTTGCTTAGAAATCATGTATGCTCCAACACTGGAGGCTTTTAAGAAGAGATTAGAAAAATAATTTCTCCGAAATGGTATAAGGTTCCTAATTGAGCAAGGGGCTGGACTCGTAGAAGACCTCTAGGACGTCTCTTCCAATTCTGTTGTCCTTTTTAAACTCAGGTTATTCTGTTAAATAAATTTAAAAATACAGCTCGGATTTTTGCAATCCCACCAGAATTCAGATATTCTCGCATGGATGATTCTCATAAGAGGGAGGGAGGCAGGCAGGAAAAGGGAGGGAGGGAGGGAAGGAAGGAAGGAAAATGGGAATGATGAAGGAAGGAAAGAAGGAAGGAAGGAAGGAAGGAAGGAAGGAAGGAAGGAAGGAAGGAAAGAAAGAAAGAAACTTGCAAAAGAAAAAAGGCAAGAAAGGGAGGGAGGGAGAAAAAGGAACAAGGAAGGAAGGAAAAGAAGGAAAAAGGAAGAGAGGGAAGGAAAGAAGGAAGTGAAAAGGGAGGGAGGGAAGGAAGAAGAAAAAAGGGAAAAGGAAGGGAAGGGAGGAAGAAGGAAAAAGGGGAAAGGAAGGGAAGGGAAGGGAGGAAGAAAAAAGGAACTTAACAGCTGCAAAGATTTCACTTTGCAACTGTGGCAATGAAGGTTGTAAAAGAAGGCAAAACTCACTTAAGAGCTGAATAACGAAGAGTTTCCCCTCTGGACTTTTTTGTAGGTGTCTGGAATGACTCCAGATTGCACCATCATGACGGTCATTGAGGCTGAACGAGAGAAGTGCCTGGGATACTCCAGTTCGGATAACCTGACTTTAGGTAAGAGGTTCGACAACCTTTTCATCTCCTTAAACATAATTGAAAACATCAGTACAGCAGGCTCCTGCTGACTGCTGGCTGGCTGCCTGCAATTTGGCAGTTCGAATCTCACCAGGCTCAAGGTTGACTCAGCCTTCCTTCCTTCCTCCCTTCCTTCCTCCCTCCCTCCCTTCCTTCCTTCTTTCCTTCCTTTCCTCCCCCCCATCCATCCATCCATCTCAGCTCAAGGTTGACTCAGCCTTCCTTCCTTCCGAGGTGGGTAAAATGAGGACCCAGATTGTTGGGGGCAAGAGGCTGACTCTGTAAACCGCTTAGAGAGGCCTGTAAAAGCACTGTAAAACAGTATATAAGTCTAAGCCCTGTTGTTATTGCTATCTAAACTTGGTGGTGCAGTGGTTAGATTGCAGTACTGCAGGCGAGTTCTGCTTCTGTTTCTATTACTTTCGTAGAAATGGTGGTAGACTTTAGAAGAAACCCTCCCATACTACCACCTCTTACAGTACTAGACAACACAGTATCAACAGTACAGACCTTCAAATTTCTAGGTTCTACTATATCGCATGACCTAAAATGGACACCTAACATCAAAAACATCATCAAAAAAAGCACAACAAAGAATGTTCTTTCTGCACCAACTCAGGAAGCTCAAAGTGCCCAAGGAATTGCTGATCCAGTTCTACAGAGGAATGATTGAGTCTGTCATCTGCACCTCTATAACTGTCTGGTTTGGCTCTGCAACCCAACAGGACAGACACAGACTTCAGAAGATAATTAGGACTGCAGAACCTTATGAATTACTACCAACCTGCCTTCCATCAAGGACCTGTATACAGCACGAATCAAAAAGAGGGCTGTGAATATATTTACAGACCCCTCACATCCTGGACATAAACTGTTTCAACTCCTTCCCTCAAAATGACGCTATATAGAGCACTGCACACCAGAACAACTAGACACAAAAACAGTTTTTCCCCGAAAGCCATCACTCTGCTAAACAAATAATTCCCTCCACGCTGTCCAACTATTTACAAAGTCTACATTACATCCTTCCTTTCACCCATCTCCTCTCACTTATGACTGTATGACTGTAACTTTGTCGCTTGTATCCTTATGATTTATATTGACTGTTTCCTAGTATGATTTGATTGTTTATTGTACCCTATGATTAAGTGTTTGTATCTTAATCATTAAGTGTTGTACGTTATGATTCTTGTTTCTTAACAAATGTACCTTTTCTTTATGTATACTGAGAGTATTTACACCAAGACAAATTCCTTGTGTGTCCAATCACACTTGGCCAATAAAGTTTTCTATTCTATTCTATTCTGCTGCCTGCCGGCTGCCTGCAATCTGGCAGTTCGAATATCACCAGGCTGAAGGTTGACTCAGCCTTCCATCTTTCCAAATGAGGGCCTGGATTGTTGGGGGCAAGAGGCTGACTCTGTAAACCACTTAGAGAGGGCTGTAAAAGCACTGTGAAGCGGTATAGAAGTCTAAGTGCTATTGCTATCTAAAACTGTGGTGCTGCAGTGGTTAGACTACAGTATCGCAGGCTGACTCTGTCCACAGCCAGAAGTTCAATCCTGACCGGCTCAAGGTTGACTCAGCCCTCTGTCCATTCTGAACAAGCATCTATTTCTGAGAGCCATCATTCATGGTCTCCAACCTGGTCAGTTCTTCAACTATTAATTTGGAAGCTCAAACATTGGTCCATTTGAAAAACAGGTGAGATACAGCACAGGTACCCCCTGAGTTATAACCATTCATTTAGAGATTGTTTGAAGTTACAACAACACTAAAAAAAGGTGACTTATGACTATTTTTCACTCTAAACAACCATTGCGTGATCATCATGTGATCAAAATTCGGATGTTTGGCAACTGACTCGTATTTATGACGATGGGATGATGTCAAGTTCAAGGAAAGTCAAGGTCACTTAACAACCGTGTGACTAAATTAACAACTGCAGTGATTCACTTAACAGCTGTCGCAGGAAAGGTCATAAAATGGGATAAATTTCACGTAACAAGGGTTTTGCTTAGCCACAGAAATTTTGGGCTCAATTGTTGTTGTAAGTTGAGGATCCACCTGTATTTTTGCTCTTTAAAATTTCCGTGTTGTTGTATAAGCCTGGGGAATCTCCGAACAATCACTCGGTTTCGCAGGCCTCTTCAAATTCTTCCTGATTTTGCAATTCGACGGTGAAAAATAAGGAAGTTGGAGAACAGCAGAATTGTTGTGTTATTGTTTAATTCAGGAATTGAATTAACTTCTATTAAATCAACTTAAAGTGGTCTGTCGTTAAGCATTTTTAATAATATCACACATCAATGCACTTCCAGTTGTGTTTTTTCTGGCAATATGTTATTTATATGCAGGTAGTCCTCGACATACGACCACAATTGAGCCGAACATTTCCGTTGCTAAATGAGACCATTGTTTAGGGAATTGTGTCCCGTTTTACAGCCTTTCTTGACACAGCTGTTAAATGAATCGCTGCGGTTGTTAAGTTAGCTAACACAGTTGTGCAGTGAATCAGGCTTCCCCGATGATGTTGCTTATCAGAAAGTTGCCACACTGCGACCGTCATAACTATGAGACAGTTGCCAGCCGCCTGAATTTTGATCACGTGACCATGGCCACAGTTGTAAGTGTGAAAAATAGTCATGTTGCTTTTTTTCAAGTGCCATTGTAACTTCGGTCACTAAACGAATTGTTTGTAAGTCGAGGACTATCTGTATTTTTTATTTCTCAGCCTCTTTCACTGACAGGTGGAGGTTTTTCAAGGCAAGGAACCCAATTTGCAAATTTTGTAAACCCCTTGGGCTTCTGTCCCTCCTTCTTTCCCTTTCCTTTCTCCAGAATATTATTGGATCCCCGTGCTTTGAGTGGCAGTTCTATCACCAAATCCTCACACGGCTAGGGAAAGCTCCTTCCTTCTCTTTCTTTTTGCTCCTTTCCTTCTCCTTCCTTCCTTTTTTCCTTCCCTCTTCTTCCCGCCTTCTCTTTCTCCTTCCTTCATTCTTTTTCTATCCTCCCTTCTTTTTCCTGCCTTCTCTCTATTCCTTTCTTCTGTCCTTCCTTCGCTCACTCATTCTCTCCTAATTCTTCCTTCCATCCTTCTCTTTCTCTACCTCCATTCCTTCTCCTTTTCCTTCCTTCCTTTCTTCTTTCCCTCTCTGTTCCTGCCTTCTCTCTCTTTCCTTCCTTCCCTCCCGCCTTCATTCTCTCATTCCTTCATTCTCTTATTTCTTCCTTCCATCATTCTCTCTTCATCCTCTTTCCTCCTTTTCCTTCCTTTCTTTCTTCACTCTCTGTTCTTGCCTTCATTCTTTTTTCCTTCCCCCTTCCTTTCTCCTCCTCCCCTTCCTCCTTCCTTCCTTCCTTCTCTCTATTTTATTCATACCTTCTGTCCTTCTCTCTATATCTTCCTACTTGTTTTCCTTCCTTTTCTCTCTTCCCTCTCTCTTTTCCTGCCTTCTCTCTTTATTTCCTTCCTTCTTTCATTTCTTCCTTCCCCCTCTTCCCTTGCTCCCACTGTCCTTCCTTCCCTCTTCCCTTGTTCCTTCCTTCCTTCATTCCCTCCCTTTTTCCTTCCTTTTTTGTGGCCCCAGAAGCCCAGCCTTCCTGACCTCCAAGGACATTTACGCAACTCTCTTTGCCTCACTAAAACCTTGCTCAATAGCAGTAACTGTGAGAAGGATCTCGGAGTCCTTAGTGGACAATCGCTTAAATCGGAGCCAGCCGTGTGCTGCAGCTGCCAAAAAAGCCAACACAGTTCTAGGCTGCATTAACAGATAGAATGAAAATTACATGAAGTATTAGTACCACTTTATAAAGTAAGGCCACACTTGGAATACTGCATCCAGTTTTGGTCACCACCATGTAAAAAAAGATGTTGAAACTCTGGAAAGAGTGCAGAAAAGAGCAGCCAGCATGATTGGTTGCCCTCTCCCCTCTTTGGAAGAGCTTTATAGCTCCTGCTGCCTTAAGAAAGTTCAAAACATCCTCAAAGATCCATCTCATCCTGGGCAGCCTTTTTTTGAATTATTACCATCTGGCAGACGGTACAGAATAATAAAAACAAGGACAAATAGATTGAAAAATAACTTCTATCCCAGGGCAGTAACTCCATTGAATTCTACTGTATAGTGCAGTGTTGGTGTGGTGTCGGGGATTTTCAAATCAATGTGTGGGGTGTGAAGGATATGTGTGTTTGTGTTTATTTTCATGGTCGTGATGTGCACTGAAGATGGCGTTTGATTTCGTTGTACGAGGTGCAATGACAATAAACTAAACTAAACTAGGGGCTTGGAGGCTAAAACATAAAGAACAGTTGTTGAAATTGGGTTTGTAATGAAAAGAAGGACTAGGGTTGACATGATAGCAGTGTTTGGATATTTGAGGGGCTGCCACAGAGAGGAGGGGGTCAAGCTATTCTCCAAAGCACCTGAGGGCAGGAGAAGAAGCCATGGATGGAAACTAATCAAGGAGAGAAGGAGAAATTTGCTGACAGGGAGAACAATTAATCAGTGGAACAACTTGCCTCTAGAAGTTGTGAATGCTCCAACACTGGAAGTTTTTAAGAAGAGATTGGAGAGAACCATTTTACCGGTTTCCTGCCTGAGCAAGGGGTTGGACTAGAAGACCTCCAAGGCCCCTTCCAACTCTGTTATTCTATTTCACTTGCCTTCTTTCCAAGCCTCTTCCGAGTCACCAAACTTGTTTGAGGGGTCAAAAGGCAGTTTAAGAACCTGGATGAGTTTGTCTGCAGAATAAACATTGCATCGTTGGCATCCGCTGAAAAGAAGCTTTCGCTGATTCAACAAGATGTTTGTTTTTCGCTTTACGCATGGTAACAGATTTCATCAGGAGCCCCGTTGGTGCCAACTGTTCTTTAATGATGGACAGGTACCCATAAACCGACGGATCCTGTTTTAAGCCTCCACAGAGCCAGCTGAGTCAAAATTAAAGGCACAGCAGTTTCAGATAATAACAGA